TCTGAAATTGCCTGAGTTTCCAGACGCTGTTGTCACGAAAGCTGCGCACGCTAGGCTTGAGTTGAGTATGCTTTTAGCATAAGGGTCAGATGAACATCAACTGCAGCAATGAGGTAGCAGAAATAGCAACAACAAGGGCACTAGTAAGACAGCCGATTGCGGCAGGCATGGCGGTAGCAGTGCTAGCAGCAGGGTTAGCGGCAGGAATTGCAACAAAAACAATCAGTGGGGTTCCTGCCTCATGACCGTCGCGAGCTTCCCTGCTAGCTTTCGTTGCCCCCGGCTTGCCGCTCAAGTTGTCACAGTGACGCGATTGAGATCATGAGTCAATGAGGCCCTCCTTCCGTTGGCTTCAAGCACCTTGGGTTCCAAATTGCATTGCCATGAATGCATAAGAAATGCAGGCCTGTTGTAGAACCCTTGCTTGATTTTCGGGTAAGGCACCTTGCGGCTTGCTATCATGGGTGGCTTCCATGTTTGTGGCCCAGGCCCAGGCAGGACGGCCCATGACGGCTGTGGAGCTTCAGCATAGGAATTGCTCTTCGCCTTAGACGACACAAAATGACGCAACAGAAACTAGGCGACACGAGTATCAGGAATGATTGCCATTACTTTGTAGTTGAAACTTAGTGCCTCCGGTCATCATCGCCATCCTCACCAAGGTGTAGTCTGTAAAGCGCATGGAAGTGCTGTCAAGTACTTCAGAGTACAACCCTTCAAGTTATTCAGGAGAATTTCTTCACAAGAGGACCAAGTGCGAAACTTGAAAACCTGGTTGCATGAAGGTTGATCTGCCAGACGTGGCACGCTTGCCGTTGCGACTCAGCGCACGTTGGATCATTTTACATGGGTAGTCGATGGTAGTCGGCAACATTATGTTCCCTTTGGGGGGAGGCTTGGGGGGGGGGCTCTTTTAGGCTATAGAACAAGATGCTGAAACAGGGATGCCGGTTGCCTCACGGTTGCTCGCATGGACGTATGTAGCCGTATGTAGTAGGCTCAGTGGAGCTTGCATCTCGGTGAGTCAGGCCAGTTCTTTGCGATTTCCTTCAAGAGTCTCGGCTTTAACCGCCCGTAATTACTCAGAGAGGGTCCCTGGCAAGCCCCAAACCTTTTTTTTCCGAGTTTGATAAAGAGAGCCTACACCAAAGAGCCCAATCCTCGAGAGTATCCGGTCGCTCCTTATACGCGGGGAGTTGGGATCCGCGCGTGTTGGAAGTGCAGAGGTGCAGGACCTGATCGCATTGCATCGAGCATCCTCACCGCGCAGTGGCCTGACCGAGGCCGGCAGCTGAACAGTTTGACATCGTTTGATTATGTTCGACTCTTCCCCGACCATTCCCGGATTGTTCCGATTACTGTCGCGATTACCACATTACCATACTACCATATTACCATATGACCATATTATCACATTACCAGCACTGTTGCTCTAATTAGCCAAGGAGTCTCGCAAATATCAGGGTCCTTAGGTTCCGCAAGGGTGATCATCTGCTGCAGGACTCGGAAAGCATACAGGTTCCTGAACATCCCCCGCAACACCCAGCCTGCAGGGTCTGTAGAGTCTCTTATGCCGCAGAGGCTGTCGGCGAAAGCATCAATGATGCGCTGTTCTTCCCGTACTCTCCCTGGAAACTGTGTCGTCCTAATAAGAATCCAATATTCCCGATTAGTTGAGTAGTTGAAGTAGTTCCGTGCCCACGGTACCCTTAATGCGAGCATCGGGGTTCCAACTTTTACAATCTGGCATCGCGGCTGCATCACGTTGGCAACATAGTTTTGTCACATGATCTTGTTTGCATATGCAGTCATGACATGTCATGACCGGTGCAGTCATGACTGGTGACGAACACAAAAAAATAACATGACTCTGAAGGCTGTGGTGCGGCACGTTGTGGAGGCTGCCAGATTTGAGAGCCCTTCTGCAGTGGCTCTTGGCGAGCAAGCCATGGATATTGGTTTCAAAGAGATGGATGCGGAAGCGATCAAGGTCTTTCGGTGCGCCATGCCTGCAGCGTGTTTGCTAGTGCTGCTAGTGTCCAACATTGTTCAATTCTTCGTGTTATGTTGCGTTGATATGTCGATGAATTTGAGATGCGTCTTAAGGTCAGGAATGGTGCGTGCAACGACTTGAGCACCTTGAGGATAAAGAAAGATGTAGCATTGTTGATGCGCTCTTGACGCACTGCAGCGGTCCTGATGTTGCAGCTCGAACAGCAGCACATAATGCCATCTGGTGTTGCTGCGCTTCCCAGAAAGGGCGACAGATGATCATTGAGCACGTTCTTCGTCTGATGAAGCGATCCCGCGGCGCTGAGTCTAAGCGCGTCGCCTTGAGACACATTTGCAACACATTCCCCATCATGTCGAAATCAGAGGTGCAGGATGTTCTCATGGTGGCATGGTCCTGGTTTTTATACGAAGAGCATGATCTGGAGACGCTGCGCGAAACAAAGGGCGCCCTGGAACTACTATTGTTTGCGGCTCAAGACACGCATTGGTTGCTGCCCTGCTTCTGCGTGGATCTCCGCAAGAGCTTGCGACAAGAGGATGCAGTTTCTGAGCGGAGGAGGCTGCTCGAAGACCTGCTGGTTTTTTGTTCGAAGCCTGACACTTTGTTTCCATGCAGATACACAGCAGGGAACCATTGGGAGGAAGCCTGGTGCTTTCCAGGAAGCGTTTGAAACCATGTTTGCTGATCCTTTGACCGCGAGCTATAGCAGCTGTTGCGCTTTCAAAAGAAGCTCTCCGAACAGGGTCGTAGCATCAAAGCCTCACATGTCGGTCGCATGGAGACAGCTTGATGTACCGGTTTGGCCCAAACGTTTTCAGCGACCGGCGTGATTCTTGTTTTGTCTGACGGCAATGGAATTCCTTCGGATTACGTGGGACGAGCCTGGCACAAAGAGCTTAGCGCATCTCGGATGCCAAGGTCTGTTGCTAGTGCAAGCAATGCAAACCTCGAAATTCCTGAAGTCAAGGTCGAGTCGCCCCCGTACTCGGACCCTAATGAAGTGTCCTCCCCCAATACTTTCCCGTAAGACTCCCAGACTGAGTGTAGTAAGCACACTAAATACAGTATTTACATTCTAGAAGTTAGGCTAATGTAAAGACAACATCATCAACATCAACATCAACATCAACAGCAACAGCAGCAGCAGCAACAACAGCAACCACAACAACAGCAGCAGCAACAACAGCAACCACAACAACAATTACAGCAACAACAGCAGCAGCAGCACCACCACCACCACCACCAACAACAACAACAGCATCATCGTCAACGTCAACGTCAACATCAACATCAACATCAACATCAGCAACAACCACCAACAACGACGACAACAACCAACAACCAACAACCAACATGCAACAGGAAACAACCAACAACCAACAACCAACAACCAACAACCAACAAGCAACAACCAACAACCAACAACCAACAAGCAGCCACCAACGAATAACAAGCAACAAGCAACAAGCAACAACAACAGCAGCAGCAACAACAACAACAGCAGCAGCAGCAACAACAACAGCAGCCACGGGGGGTTTAATAATAGGGGGCGTTAATAATAGGGGAGGCGATTACTGCTACTGCTCCTGCTACTGCTACTGCTACTGCTACTGCTACTGCTACTGCTGCTGCTGCTGCTACTACTACTACTTCTTCTACTACTACTACTACTACTACTGCTACTACTACTACTACTGCTACTACCGCTAGCCGCCCCCCCCGCCCTACCAACTACCAAGCTTCAGGCGCAAGTGCAAACTAACTGGCGTGGTACGGGAAGCACTTGGCAGGCATCAGATTTTACTTCTCCGGATTATGCGTTGGACATAGAAAAAATGCTCATTCTCAAGTTTTGGACGTCAATTTGTTTGTTATGCTGTTCGTTTTCCAATTTTTAAGTATCAGTATAAGTATCTGTTGCTGTCGTCCTCGTCGCAGGTTTGGGTGGAAGAGGAGGTTTAGGTGTAAGTGTGAAAGAAGGGCACGCTTAGGGGCTAAAGAGCTCAAGGGTTTAGGCAGGGTACCCTTAGGGGCCGAAAAGCTTAAGGGTTGAGGAAGGGCACGCTTAGGAGCTAAAGAGCTTAAGGGTTTAGGCAAGGCTTAGGGCCTGAAGAGCTTAAGGGTTTAGGGTTTAGGGCCTGGTTTAGGAGTTAGGGTGGTACTGTTACTGCTGCTGCTAGTACTACTGCAACTGCGACTGCGAGTGCTGCTGTTACTGCTACTGCTGCTGCCAATGCCAGTGCTGCTGCTACTGCTAGTGCTACTGCTATTGTTGCTGCTGCTATTGCCACTTGCCACTGCCACTGCTATTGCTATTGCTACTGCTAATGCTGCTACTGCCACTGCCGCTCGTGCTTCTGCTGCAGCTAATGCTACTGCTGCTGCTATTGGTGTTGCTACTGCTGCTGCTGCTGCTACTACTACTACTACTACTACTACTACTACTACTATACTACTACTACTACCTTTACCGCTACCACTACTACTTCTCTTCCGGTAAAAGCTACTCCTGCATGGCCACTTGCTCTTGCTGTGCATTTAATTCCTGCCACCACCACAGAGACAACGACAGCGACGAAGACTTCAACAAAAACATCAACACCCTGACGATTGACAGTCGGCCAGCAACAAAAAGCACAAAGCCCCTCGCGGAAGTGCCGCGGAGCAATGATCAAAACCAAGTTCGCGGAAAGGCCCGTGGAAGCATGCCCCGACCAAAAACCGAATTGTGTGGGCCAGAGGTATTCGCAGAAGGTCCGCGGAAGCCCGCGGGCGGAAGCTTGATTTTTCAATTGATTTATAGAGGGAATATGTAAACACCATGGCTCACATCTGTCATCTAAATTGGGCTACGTAGGCCCAGTGTAGTACCAGTCTTGCCACGTGGTGGTTGCCAGCAGTTTGCAACAACCCAGGTTCCCTGGCATCGAGAAGGCCTTCATTGAAGAGGGCCCAGACGCCAACGACTTCACGACTTGCATAGCCGATGGACACGTCTATGCCGCCTGTCAGCTACCACACATGTTTTTTTGTTTGGGACTTAAGAAGTTTGCTTTGTTGTTCAGTGTTCGTTGGTCCAGGTATGCTTCGTGCAGCCGCAGACTCCTGGTTCCAGACATGCAAGACTTGTTGTTCACGCAAACGGCGAGGCAGCAGGGTGATGTCCCAGTCACCCTCGCTTTCAAGGAATAGCAATCAAAACAAAGCAACGTCAACAAAATAAAAACAAAAACTATAATCAACAAAAAAGACTTTACAATAAAAAATGGAGCTTCTGGCTACCTGGCTCCTCGGCTTCCTTGCTTAGAGGTTTTCTGGCTTCGTGGCTTCGTGGCTTCTCGGCTTCGTGGCTTTTTGGCTTTTTGCCTGTTTGGCTCTACGGCTTTGTGGCCTGTTGGGTTTCGTGTTTTTTTTGGCTTTTGAGGCTTTTGTTACACATATTTACTCACAATTACTCATAATCAGTAATAATGGGTAATAATTAGAAAATTAGTAATAACTACCAATAGTTACTAGTAAGTAATTACGGTTACTAATCATTACTAATCATTGCTAATCATTACTAATCATTACTAGTCATTACTAATAATTACTAATAATTACGCATAATTATATGCTCACCCCCCCCCCCCTGAGATGCAAGTGGGACGTAGTAACCTTCACAACGGTACAGGCTACCAGATCACCACGGTCTCTCTCTTTTCACTAGCGCAGGCTAAAGAGTACTATCCCGCTAGAACCTGACACGGCAGCAGAATGCATTGCAGAGTGAACCTGAACAGGCACTGGTCAGCATGAAACAAAGTTCATATTTCAACCAGGCACAAACTTAAAAATTCACGAGCTATGCATAGCCGTATAGTCGGCCATAATCTGCGAGCCGTATGTGTCAAGTCGCTAGCCTTGGCGAAGTGCGCAGCGGAGGAGTATAAAAACTCATTGGCTGGACTCTATGCACATCGGATAGGTCTGAGAATCTCTCGCCTGCTTCAAAAACAAAAGCAACAGGAACTAAGAGCATCGAAACGGATAACTAACTTGGCAGCATTCGGAACTTCCTCAAAAATAAAACTTTCTGCATGACTCTACACTCAAGATAAGCAGAGAGTTACCTTCCCAGGCAGGAAGCTTACTCGATAAGCTTGGACAAGAATATAACCCTTGTCAGGCAATGGCTGAAAATAGGGAATACCTCCTCAGATAAGGAGCTCTCCAGATAGAGAGCCTCCTTCCCGACACTCGGCAAAGAGTAAGGATACCTCTCCAGATAGAGAGCCTTCCTTATGAGCATACATGAGGATACCTCTCCAGGTAGAGAGCCTTCCGTTTGTGTTCGCTCACTTCTTGCCCCTGCCTTTCTCGCCTTTGGCAAACTTCCCCTTGGTGTGCTTCCCCTTTTCCTGCGGAGAATCCTTGCCCTTGCCCTTGTGCTCCTTTGACTTGCCCTTGCCCTTGGGCTGATCACGGCCTTGGCTGCTGCGAGAACGTCCAGGAGGTGGATGATCAGGTTCTCGAGGAGGACCTGCTGAACCTCTGGAGCGATCTGGTGGAGGTCCTGCTGGTTCTGCTGGGCGTGCAGTTCCAGGTACTGGTCCTCCGCGGAGATTCCCTTCATCTTTTTCTCGTCTTTCCTTTTGTCGTTCGGATCTCCGTTGAGCCTTGGCCAAGATCGTATCAGGATTACGATCCACCGCCTTCTTGGTCTGTTACGTGACCCACCTTGGACTGATGTCGAAGAAGAGCGGGGTGTGTGAATCGTTATACCATGTCCAGCCGCACTCGGTGAGGAACTCCAAGTCGGGCTCCTCGAGTGTGCCCGCTTCGCAGAGCATCAGGAGATGCGACTTCGAGCGGCCCAGGCTGGTCACAAGAGGACCAACGTGATTCTCCCACTTGTGATCCAACGGCTCAGCGTAGGCGCTCGGCAGAGTTTGCTTGCGCGAGCGTGCAAAGTTGCCCAAGTTTGCATTCAGGCAACTCATGCTTGTGCGAGTAATGTACAAAGCACGCTCGTCAACTGGCCTGTTGACGTCCAGCAGACGGTAAGTCTTAAACTCGTCGCCCAACGAGAGGCTTCCTAAATCTTTGGGAGCGGAGAACCCGCAGTTTAGGAAGTATGTCAGGAGTGAGTTCATCAACTCCTGTCTCGTAGCCGGAGTGTCCTTGGCATGCAACTCCTTGAGCTTCTCCACGAGAGCGTCGTTGAGAGTCTGGACGTCGTCTTTGATCTTAGTCGCCCTCTCGAGCAAAGTGAAATCGTGGATAGGGTGAACATCTCCAGCGTCAAAAAAAATGTCCATACACGTAGCACGCGTCTCATAGATAGGTTTCAGCTGGGCCATTGCAGCAGCGATGTTCTTGTCCAGCAAGTCGTACTTTGCTTGCGGATGCTTCTCACCAGGTTTCCGCCAGGCCATATGCTGGAAGCGGTAAGCGTTTTCGTCCGTAATTCGGGCATCGTCATGGTAGAAGCCGCATGACGGTCCGGACTCTGACGCTCCATGTTCTTGAAGTGCCTTACGAACCTTTGGAACGCTTCAGTTTTCTGAAGAAGCTTGGCGTTCTCTGTCTTTGCTTGCAGGTGGTTGAACGCCTCCTTGTTCTCTTCACTGCTCTTCGGGTTCAAGTGGGCATCGAACGCGTCAGGATCGATGAAGGTCTCCTTCTCGCCCCAAATGCCCTGGTCCCGTGCTTCAGGAACCGAGGACTCGGCTGTGGATCGAGGTCCGGGCGCGTCTGCTTCCGCAGTCGGCTCTTGCTTCACACGAGAAGATACCTCCGCAGGTACGGAGCCTTCTTCTTGCGTGATTTCAGGTACCTCCGCAGATACGGGGCCTCCTGTTGTTGCACGTTTGGGTACCTCTGCAGGTGCAGAGCCTGCCGGTGCTGTGACCTTGGATACCTTCGTAGATACGGAGCCTCCCGTGGTCGCCTCTTCGGCCCTCTCGGTGCGTGGCTTCTTGTCAGCAGGCTCCTGAAGCTCAGAAGTAAGGAGCCTTCTCCTGCAACTGGTGCTTCAGCAGGTGGAACCGCTGGCTCAGTGTCCATTGCCACAGGTACCTCCTCAGGTAAGGAGCTTCCCGCAGCCGTTGACGCTGAGTTGAAGTCACCCATCAGCCGTGTGGGCTTTTTGGTCTCCTCCATCTTGACGTCCGTGGTCTCCTCGATAATTTCCTCAACCTTCACCGGCGGCGCCTCCGCAAGGAACTCCTCAACGGCAACGTCGTCGAACGGCCTCGTGTAGAGCTCCTCCAAGTCAGCGGCGTGCTTCGCGCGGACCTTTTCATACTCGATAAGGTCGGCGAAGGCCTTTTTCGCTGTCTCAGAACCGAACGATTTTGTCATCCCATCTGCAAAGGACCTTTCCAACTTTTTGATGAGATATGCACCGTTGAACTCCTCGCGGAGTGTGCAATCAAAGAGCTGGTAACCCTCACACGTGGTCACCTTGTACTTCTCCCTGAAAGCGCGGTCATTGGCGTGAGCACGAGTGTAGTTGAAGAAGTCAATGCCATAGGCTTCCGAAACAACTCTGACCAACAAATTGAAGTCGTCGCGAAGGAATTGGAGCTCCCTCGCGATAGCCGTCTCCTTCTGCCATTGGTCATGTTTCTTCATGTTCTCTTCAAAGTCCTTCTCATCAGGTTTAGGCCGACGTTGACGCTCGTCCCTTTCGTCGGGCGGATAGAACCCGGCGTGCTCGCGAGTGTCAAACTGCTGGCCCTGCATGTAGGTGATACAGTACCAGTAGTCACCCAGCGTGTATCCACCAGACTCTTCGGCGGCCTCCTCACACGACGATCTGTATCCTGTGCCGATGTTGCCTTTGGTGTTCGGCTTCTGGTCCAACTCCAGGAGATAGTTGCCCTGGAGCTTGCCAAGTTCGAAGGCTTTGAGGAAGAGGTGCAGGCCATACCCAGATAGGGGATGACGAAGCCACTCCAAAACGCCAAAGTCCTCTCCCAGAGAGTTTCTAAGGGCTTTCGGAAGAGAACTCCACTTGGTAAGACGGACCATACCATCGCCATAGTTCGTGAGAAGAGGATTTCCGAGCTCGTCTCTCATCTTCAGTATCCCTTGCTTGTAGAGGAACCAAGGGTTCGCAGAAACTCGGAGCAGGAGGTGATTCAGTTCATCGGTACGGATCTTGTCCACATTGACCTTGCTATGAACTTCTTCACCTCGCTCATAAGGCCGCGAAGACTCACCAATTGTGGTGGTCTCAGAACGCTTGGCCTCCTCGAGTTCGGCATTGATGATGAGTTTCTTGATTGTCTTAGCGTCAAACGTGGGTACCTCTCCAGATGGAGAGCCTCCCTTGCCTTTGCGTGCCTCTCCAGATGCAGAGCCTCCCGCGGCAGTCGACGATGAGGGCCCTTTTGGCATCTTTTTGGCCTTCACCTTTGGCTGGACGTTGGCGGAAGAAGACGCAGCTTCTGTGGGTACCTCTCCAGATGGAGAGCCTCCCGCGCTGCTCGAGGGTACCTCTCCAAGTGGAGAGCCTCCCCGTTCCTCTTCTTGCCGACGGTTTCAGCGCTTGCCACCAGGATCTCGTTCATGAGGAGGTCGATAATGGTGGCTCAGGTGAGTGGTCGACGGGCTCGTAGGAGAGAACTACGCCATTGGCAGTGAGGTAGAGCTCCTTGCCATCCTTGTACCATGCCTCGTAGTCGATCTGCACGTAGTAGGTGTCGTGGCCGTACCTGATGACCGTACCTTGGCGTGGACCCTCGCTACCGCCAGCGTACACAAAGTGGATAACTGTGCATGCTTGCTTGCCCTTCTGTCTAACAGCGGACAGCATCAGACCGTTCGCGAGGATGGACTTGTAGTTGCTGTACTTGGTCGCATGGAAGATGAAACCAAGATTCCGGCATTCCTCCAGTGAAAGCCGCTGGCCCAAAGCCGACGGATCAAAGGATTCCGGGACACGGGTGTGTCCCTGCACTGCCGAGACACAGACGATAAAGTCCATCTCGTCGAGGCGGTTGTAGACGTATCGCGCGGGGGCCAGATACAGCTGGAATCTCCCCTTGCTGTTACTCAGCAGGAAGCTGAGAAACGTTTTTGCCTCCATCTTGTAGGGATCGGCAGAGGTGGAAATGAGTTCCTCAGTGGGAACCTCCAAGTAGCGGCCTTTGCGGACCGC